TCCGTAATCATTTTCCACGTGTTCTCCATCGTCTCGTGCCGTTTCGGCTTCGCGACTCCCAGCGATCGAAAGCCTAATTAACAATAAATGGAATTCATATACCAAAAGAATTATTAACGAAATTACCATTTTGTCAATCTTGATTCTGTAATTTAAAGGTGCAGGGGAAGGATATTTTAGACTTTTGAGCAGTGCGTCTAGCGGACGCCACTGCTGTGTGTTTTGAGTAGAGAAAATGACGTTTCTTCTGAAAAATACAAAAATCAAAAACCCCGCCGGGCAAGTCTCACCGACTCCGACCGACAAGCCTGTTGAATCTTTTTTTAATTTGAAATTCGAAACTTAGAAATGAGAGGAAATTAAGATCTAGCCATTACCATAATATTATTTCTAAAAATAATATTAGAGAGAAAAGATTAATACCTTCTGTACTGGCTTTATTGACAAGTTTCCGGTGACCGAACCTGGCAGAAACCAGTGGTTTCTCAGCCGGTGAGAGAATCTCCATTGGAATCTCCGACGAATCCATCCTCCTCAGCGGATTCCACTCGGATTTCGAGGTCACCAACTCATCTCCTCGATCTCCATTAAGATCTTCAGCCACCACATTCTTATCCTCCACAATATCACCGGCTTCCACCACTTCTCTCTGCTTCTGCTCAAACACCACAACGCTCGGTTCCGCCGCACCGAAATCCGATCTACAACTCTTCATCTCGCACTCGAACGCCAGATTCGGATCCACCGTAATCTTCGGTACAGGCATCTGCTGATGATCCGCCTTCTCATTGTCGCCATCTCTGCGGTGGAACCGCGAGGACGCCACGATGGTGATGATGATAGCGTTTATTATAACATAAAGAAACGGAGGCCGGAGCCAGGAGGCCACCGAACTCCATAAAACCGGAGCTTGAGAGACAGAGAAATCCAGAACCAATGGAACAGAGACCTTCAACCCGAAAGCCAAAGATAGCACACCAGTGGAAATGAACAGAACCTTCAGAGACAGGATCCATGTGGAGGTGGACGCCATTGATGCAGGTAAAAGTTCCCTTTTAGTGAGTGTCGCTTTTTTTAAGCTTGGAAAATGGAAGGTAGTGGATGGGGGAGTTCAGTCAGAGGAGGATGACAATATATATAGAGAGGGAGACGGGGTTAGGAGACGCGATTAATGATCAAATCTAGAACGTTTGATCTGTGATGGGAAGTATCCACGGTTGGGATTCATTAAGAGCTAACGTGCTTCGAAGAATATCTGTGGTGGCCCACGTGTTACAAGAATTAGTTAGGAGATATCATGTCTAAGGAACTTTTTAACTGTGCCTTGAGCGCATATTTAACTTTATTCTATTATATAATATTTGTAATTAATTTTATATAAATTTTAATATTAAATTAATATTTT